CAGTATCATTGGGTCCCCAAAACCTTGAACATGAGCTTCGAAGCCCTGAGCCCTAAAATCCTGAGACGTTCATTCGGATCTTCGACCCCTTCGGGTTTAGGGCTTAAGGTTTAGGGTTTAGGGTAAGCACAATTTACAGAGGGTTTAGGATTGTGGTTTCGCATGAAGATGAGGTGTTAAGGGTTCTTCCGGGCCTTCTTCAGGTTCTGGCAAGTCTGCGAGCATCTCGGACATACGCAGAGCTGCTTGAGCTGCTTGTTGTCCTATGTTTGGGCTCCTGGTTCAGGGTTTCGGTCAGGGTGGGGTTTGGGATTTGGGATTTGGGGTTTGGGGTTTAGGGTTTAGGGTTTAGGGTTTGGGGTTTAGGGTTTAGGGTTTAGGGGGTAGATGGTTCCCTGTGAGTGTGGCCTGGACATAGCGCGTCGTATTATGTCAGGGGCCCCACAAGGACCGAATTCACTGGGCAGTCGCCTTGAATCGCATCGCCTTGCAGAAATTGGGGAATCGCACTCCGGGTGGTGACGTTCTGTTGACCCTGAACCCTAAACCCTAAACCCTAAACCCTAAACCCTAAATCCTTGAAAGGGTTGTGGCCAGAAGTGCCGAAAGCAAGGCTGCCTGCGGAACATCGTGAGTTTTGATCGTTTTCGTTTCACGCAATGAGAACGTCTTGCAGCGCCCACATGGCAAGTCGGTTTAGAAATTCAAATGTTTGGAAGCACAGCACACTTTAAAGAGAACCCTTTTTTGGGAACCCCAGCGTTGGGAACCCGAGCTCCTGAGGAACCTAAACACGCCAAACCAGCGTGCTCTGACTGCCAGCCGCGGGCACGGAGATTCGCTAACACTAGCGCCCATATAAGTCTTATTGTTAGGGCGCATTTATTATAGTAGTAGTAGTAGTAGTAGTAGTAGTAGTAGTAGCAGTAGTAGTAGTAGTAGTAGTAGTAGTAGTAGTAGTAGTAGTAGTAGTAGTAGTAGTAGTAGTATCAATATGGTGTGTTTATAAGGGGCACATGAAAGGACTCATGATGGTACGGTTTCTAGAACAGGCTTTTGGTGAACGAGAGAAAGGTACCAGCCCCAGTTAATAGATTCATGGGCGAGACTGACAGGTGGGATGGATTCCAGGGTCTTTCCACCTTCATTCTTAGTCTGATTGCGCGTTTACAAGGTACACGCGCATGAACAATACTAGAGAGAAAAGAGGGGGGCGTGCAAGGGGCTGAGAATATGGTACTTGTTGCCCCTTTCTCACACAGATTCGCTGACACTTTCTATACACTTTCGCAAGGCTTTGTGCCAGGGACAGTCTGCAAAGTGATAGGCGAAGACTCTAGCAGGAAACTCATAGGAAGCAGGGTTTATATTTCTGTTTTTGGTGAGTGTATATCAGGTTCCTTTTTGATTTTGATGAGTGTATATACTGATTTCGATTCAAGCCGCTGATGTGTAATTCTCTCCAGGAGCGTCTACACCTCGGCGTGTTTAGGGTTTAGGGGTTTAGGGTTTTAGGGTTTTAGGGTTTTAGGGTTTAAGGGTTTAAGGGTTTTAGGGTTTTAGGGTTTTGGGCCTTGGGGTTTTAGGGTTTTAGGGTTTTAGGGTTTGGGGGGTGATGTGTATTGTGGCGGTCGGATGCAAGTCAACATATTGTAGCTTAAACCGAAGCTCAGATGCAGATCCTCCCAAGGTTCAGCCTAAACCCTAAACCCTAAGCCCTAAGCCCTAAACCCTAAACCCTAAACCCTAATACTACCTGGGGAGTTGAGGGGCTTGGGAGCTGCCGCCTTGCGTTGCGTGCAGGGTTTAGGGTTTAGGGTTTAGGGTTTAGGGTTTAGGGTTTAGGGTTTAGGGTTTAGGGTTTAGGGTTTAGGGTTTAGGGTTTAGGGTTGAGGGTTGAGGGTTTAGGGTTTAGGGTTTAGGGTTCGGGGTTCTTGCTGGCCCAGTGGTGCCCTTTCGCCCTTCTTTTTGTTTCTAGGTTCCCTTATATCGTAACCAGCAACAAGAAGGGTACCCTTTAGTGTAATATGGTTACTGTGTTACCAAGGTCATTAAGCAATCACAAGCCCCAGCGCACCATTGAGAACTGACAGCGCAACTGCATCCTAGCATCCTTTACATGGGCGTTACTATTAGGGGCCCCAAAAGAGGGCATCCACACCCAAAGCCCTCAAGAGCCTCTTATGAACCCTATACCCTAAACCCTAAGCCCTAAACCCTAAACCCTAAACCCTAAACCCCTAATCCTAAATCCTAAGCCCTAAACCCTAAACCCGAAACCCTAAACCTTAAACCCTAAACCCCAAATCCTAAACCCTAAACCCTAAACCCGAACCCTAAACCCTAAACCTTAACCCCTAAACCCTAAACCCTGCACCCTAAATCCTAAACCCTAAACCTACACCCTAAACCCTAAATCCTAAACCCCAAACCGTAAATCCTAAACCCTAAACCCTACACCCTAAACCCCAAGCCCTAAACCCTAAACCCTAAACCCTAAACCCTAAACCCTAAACCCTAAACGAAGCTAGAGCCCAGGAACAGCGCTTGCTCCGAGCGGCGAAGAGGGGAGACACACTGCGGCTGCGCCGTGTTCAGGCAACTGCAGCAGGGACCCCGAAACCCTAAACCCTAAACCCTAAACCCGAAACCCTAAACCCTAAACCCTAAACCCCGGAGTCTCTAACTTGGGATCCCTAGACTTCGTGGGTGTACTGCGCGTTTCTCGTCAGATACCAAGAGCGATACTTTGAGCGGAGGTCGAGGGTTCAGGGAGTTGATCAGGGCGTACGTTTTTTTGAAGTTCAGGTTCGGAGTATGGGATGTTCCCCTTTATACTAACAGTCAGTCCTTAACAGGGATTATAGTACCCCCCCTATTGCAAACCCCTGTTAGGGACGGTTAGTACAGGGGAACATCCCAAGTCGGAGTTCGTGAATATCAAAGAGGGTTGTCAGGAGTCCTTACAAGCCTCACAAGGAGAAAACAACCGTTGCTTGACTCTGTATCTTCTAAACCCTAAACCCTAAACCCTAAACCCTAAACCCTAAACCCTAAACCCTAAACCCTAAACCCTAAACCCTAAACCCTAAACCCTAAACCCTAAACCCTAAACCCTAAACCCTAAAACCTAAAAACTAAAACCTAAACCATAAACCTAAACCCTAAACCTAACCCCTAACCCCTGAACCCTAAACCCTAA